ATTCAGTAACAATACAGTAGATAAATCATGGCTGCTACACAAGAGGGGATATAGAACACAGGAGAATAACATATCAGAAGAACAAACATTATTATATCATTAACGTTGTTCTTCTGAATTACGAAAAGAACCCCTACGTATCAACACAGCTTTCTAAACTTTAAATACAGAAAAAAAATCATCTCTTTAATACGATATATCAAGAAAATATAATAAATCTCAATACGGGAAAAAAAATCTTCCGCAACCATTTCACCGACCTGAGACACACTTTCTCACTCGGAGGAAATAATCCCGGGTGCTCCTAACAGCCCCTAGAACACAGTGTTGGGCTCCCTGTGTTGGTGAGCCATCCTGTAAAGCGGCCATTCTCCCTTGTATACCTAATTATCATAAATTCTGTTTTATGAGGTTCTGTATCCTATGAAAGAAGCTGCAAATTCCTTCGCACTTTACAGCAGCTTAGCGCCCGACTCATGATAAAAAGAGAAGAATTGTGGACTCGGGGCCTCTGTTGACAAGATATCAAGTGTGGAGGGTGGGCAGTATTTGGCTATAAGGTGACAGGAGTTATAGGACGTGACGGAACAGAATGATGAAGACACTGATAAATGTCTTCTATGTCTCTTTCTTTCTCTCTCTCTCTAGTGTTTCATTTCCTTTCTTTCATTTTCCTTGTAACATTTAGTCCTGAGCCTCTATGTCACACTTTGTATTGTGTCACATCCCTTGCTGTATCACACCCAATCTTGAGACATATTCTGTCATGTTACATTTAGTCTTGACCCACAACGAGTCCTGTGCCACACCTCAGCCAGTGGCATATACTCGTACAGTACCCCGTCTTGTGCCACACCCTGCCCCGTGCCAAGTGTGCCATACCCCACCATTTACCACACCCTATCCAGAGCCACATCCTATCCACAACCACATCCTCCAGTTTACTCATCTATTACGCATATTTGTCCAATTCATCCTCTGTTTTCATTCCCTAATCTCTCCACTATTTCCCCTAAGTCTCCTTCGTCTTGTCTTCACGCTAACCCTCAGACCTTCCCAATGGACCTGATCCCGAAGTTCGAAATGAAACTTAAGAAATATGACCCCCAACACCCCCCCTCCTCCTCCCTCTCCCTCACTACCACACGACCTTTCCTTCCTGTGGGGACTCTGTCAGCGTTTACCTGCAGGAGTTGACGTGTGGAATGTGGAGTGGGGTGTGGTGAGGTGCGGTCTCTCTCTCTCTCTCTCCTCACAGATCCTTCCTTGTACCTTTCCCCTCTGTATCCTTCCCTCTCCCTTCCTCACTACCATTTCCCCACTCGAGTAAGCGTGATATAAAATACAGTAATTAAGTGATCACCGACATGTGTCATTTTCTCAGTGTTGTCGTATAGAAGGAACAGCGATGACCACCTCTCTCTGTGGAGTGTCTAGGTTGTGTTGTGGTGCCGTGCGGGGGTTGAGTCCTTGGTTTTGTATGTTCGTCTGTCTGTCTGTCTGTCTAGTTCGTGTTGTTGTGTCGTGTGTTAGTCCACTCCTCTTTGCATATATGTATGTCTGTCTGTCTTTCTGTCTGTCTGTTTGCCTGTCTGTGTAGTTCGTGTTGTTGTGTCGTGTGGTCGTATGTTCCTCAACTTTGTCTGTTTATCTATGGCTGCCTACCTGTCTTTCTATATGCTTGGCTGTCTATTAGCCTGCATTCTATCTATCTATCTGTCTGCCTGACTGGCTGCCCGGTAGATTCAAATATGAATACATGAATACAATTGGTTTAATTCAAAATACACAACTGAAAAATTTAAGGAAGAATAAAAAAGTTAAAAAGAATAGTGTTGAAAATGTTGGAGAGAAGAGAACAACGTTGATGTATGAATATTCTAAAAAAAAACGTTAAATAAATCTCGAATTTTTATCATGCAGAATAAACGCATCAAGCCACTACAGAGACTCCCAGATGTACGGTAACACCACCAGTCCTCTCGCTAGTCAATCTTTAATACTTACTCGATACAACGGTGACATTTTTCACTATATCTACCGCCACTATCACAGGCAAACGGTCACTACAGCAACGCCAGCCATTGCGAAATAATGCCTTCTACGTTACACCCACGTGCCTCCTCCTCCTCCTCCTCCTCCGCCTCCTCTTCCTATTCCTCTTCCCCTTCGTCAGCCAATCACAGAAAATGCACATCCAAGAATGATAATTCGGCGAGGCAAATAACTGTACCGCACTGTAGTTTTTTTTGTGTGGGTGGTGGGCGAGACGGTAATTAGAAGGTGAGACAGCAGGTGTACCCTCGTCCCCTCGTGTGCGTGCCAGGGACCCACCTCCACCCCGCCCACACCCCCACCCCTAACCTACCCCCTACCGCAGCCCCCACCACTACTAATGCCTCCATCCACCACATAACTTATGCCTTCCAGTTAATGAACTCTGGATATACACTGTCATTTGTTTATCTAGACTCATGGATCGATAGACAAGGTTTCGTTTAATTATGTGGGTTTTTTTTTGTATTACCAAGAATATATTAGTTTATTTTGGCGCGGATTTTGTGTTTTAGTGAATACAAAGATATGACTGGATTAATTTGTATTATTATTAAATTTCTACATGTAAAGGAAGTTGTGATTCATTAATATAGAATAAAAAAAAAGACAACATTTTCTCTCTCCTTAACTACAACTTCAACTACCACAACAATTTCTGCCACCAACATCACCACTACTTACACCACCACCACCACCACTACTTACACCACCACCACTACACACGACACCACTACCACCACCACCACTACACACGACACCACTACTACCACCACCACCACCACAACAACAACAGCAGCGAAGGTTCATGTCATTACAAAAGTAGCTACCCACCACACGACTCATCCTCACCCGTACACACACACTACCTCACCCTCACCCTCACACTCTACCTCACCCTCACACACTCTACCTCACCCTCACACACTCTACTCCACCCTCACACACCTTATCTCATCTTGACACATTAAATCACTCTCACACACCTCACAGTATTAAATAATGACGCTGATAATGACAAAAAACCACCATCCCATCCCATCCCATCCCATCCCATCCCCAGTACTCCTCTATTAACCAGACTGACCCAGCGACTACCTCTACGTCTATCATCATATTATGTTGTTCATCGGCTCTAAGTAGTCAGCAGGTAGGTAGATCACAATACCTGCTTCCATCAGTAGGTGAGGCACTAATACCAACCCCCCCCTTTCCCTTTCTCTCACCCCGACCCATCCCAACCCCCCCCCCGAGGTGGGGAATGAGGTGGGATGGAGGAATAGAGGGATGATGGATGGGAGATGGAGGGAGGATGGGGAGATGGAGGGTGGGGGTGGGGATGGAGAGATGTGGGGGAGATGGAGGGTGGGGGGGATGGAGGGTGGGGAGAGGTGGGGATGGAGGTGGGGGATGGAGGTGGGGGGATGGAGGGTGGGGAGATGGAGGTGGGGGATGGAGGGGAGATGGAGGGGATGGATGGATGGGAGATGGATGGATGGGTGGTCGGGTAAAATGGTTGAGATCGTTGAACAGAATGTGTTAAGAAAATGAAGAAGGGAGAGAAGGAGGTGCTGAGTTTGGGGAGGAAAGTGAGGTGCGGGTGAAAATTAGTACATAGACTAGGGTGTGGAGCTGGGGAGGAGGACACGTGGCGTGGGAAGAGGAAGAAGAGTAAAAGGAAGCGGAGGAAGAAGAGGAGGAAGAAGAAGAAGAAGAAGAAGAAGAAGAAGAAGAAGAAGAAGAAGAAGATTGAGTTCGATACAGTCAAGGAGGATTTAAAAAGATTGGATTACAGGGTAGTTATGGCTATTCAGTACAGCTAACAGGACAAAGTGGAGGAGAGTTGTTGATAAGGAAAGGATGTTATGATAAATGGGGGAACTAGGAGGGAGCTGAAGTATTAATGAAGCTGTGGAGAGAGAAAATGAAGGTGAGGACGGAGGTAAATATAAACAGGAGGGAGAGAGTAGAAGAGAGAAGGAGAGAGTGTGTCAGTGATGTACACTAGTGATGTATCAAAGAGCCAGGGCGGTGTGTTGACGGTGTCGAAATTGGGAGAGAATTGTTGTGTTGTTGGTGGTGTTGTGTTGTTGTGGTGTTGTGGTGTTGTTGCTGCCGTGTATTGATGCGATATGATGTGGGGTGGCTGAGCTGACAAGTGCCGGTGGGAGGTAATGGTGATACATTGATATATTTGTCCACATACAAAAGATAAACGAGCATAATATGTACACGACAACAAGACCGCAGAGTCACAGGCAGAGGAGGATTGTGTAGCTGTCAGAGAGACCAGTGTGTGTGTCATCTATTCTCTTTCCTTAAGAGTTATGGGATAAACGTAGATATACAGAAATTCAAAGAAATCATGACAATAATACTACTACTAATAATAATAAGAGTGTTCCATATTGTCATTGTAACAAGAGACTCACTGGGATATATAATACCTGGTCATGGAAATCATTAAGAGAATGACCACACGTCTTCATTGGACCATATACTAATCTGATTAAGATGCTCATTAAAATTAATAGTCTGTTGAATCGTTGCTGTCGTCTGTCTTTCAGTCTGTTTGTCTGTTTGGCTTTCTCTCAGTATGTCTGTCGGTTGGTCTATATTTTTGACTGACTGTTTCGTTCATTATCTTTACAAGTAATTGATGATCTCTCTCTCTCTCTCTCTCTCTCTCTCTCTCTCTCTCTCTCTCATTCTTCTTCGTACTGTCTTTTATTTTCCCTCTCATTCCTTTCCTTTCCCTTCTCATCCTTCCCCTCTGTTTCCATTACCTTTCGCCCTCTCTTTCCATTACTCCTCCCTCTCATATCTTCCCGTCCCTCCCCCGTCCCCCCCGTTCTCCATTCCTTCCCTCATCTCATCCATTCCTTTCCCTCTCACCCCTTCCCATCCCCTCTCATCCATCTCTATCCCCCTCTCATCTCTCTCACCTGTATCATGATGGAGAGGCCAACGATGCCATTGGAGCCGAGCCGAGCCTCACTCATGTTGCGGTAAAGGTCCGCATTATACCCATACAACTGGATCTGTGGAGGACAAAAACACGTCGATGAGGAAAAATGGAAAATTGAAGAGAGTGTACACAGGAATAATAGAATAATTGAGGTGTGAGAAAAAAAAAGTGAGTTTAAAGGAAGGGAAATGTTAGATGATGGAGGTGTGAGGAAAAGAATGTATGAAAACGAAAAGAAAAGAGAGAGAAAAATCAAAGCTGATGAGGGAAAAAAAATAAGAAAGAGAGAATTGGACAACTAAATCCGTCGAGGAATGGAAAGTAAACATGGGTGGGCTGAGCGAGGAGGGAGGGAGGGAGGGAGGGAGGGAGGGAGGAATACGACCTATAACCAAAAGGAAATAAAGTTAACATTATTTTGTCCTTTATGTCTCTATTTGTTTCATATTATAATTTTGTCTTATAATTATGTTTGGTGTGTGTGTGTGTGTGTGTGTGTGTGTGTGTGTGTGTGTGTGTGTGTGTGTGTGTGTGTGTGTGTGTGTGTGTGTGTGTGTGTGTGTGTGTGTGTGTGTGTGCTGTGTGTGTGTGTGTGTGTGTGTGTGTGTGTGTGTGTGTGTGTGTGTGTGTGTGTGTGTGTGTGTGTGTGTGTGTGTGTGTGTGTGTGTGTGTGTGTGTGTGTGTGTGTGTGTGTGTGTGTGTGTGTGTGTGTGTGTGTGTGTGTGTGTGTGTGTGTGTGTGTGTGTGTGTGTGTGTGTGTGTGTGTGTGTGTGTGTGTGTGTGTGTGTGTGTGTGTGTGTGTGTGTGTGTGTGTGTGTGTGTGTGTGTGTGTGTGTGTGTGTGTGTGTGTGTGTGTGTGTGTGTGTGTGTGTGTGTGTGTGTGTGTGTGTGTGTGTGTGTGTGTGTGTGTGTGTGTGTGTGTGTGTGTGTGTGTGTGTGTGTGTGTGTGTGTGTGTGTGTGTGTGTGTGTGTGTGTGTGTGTGTGTGTGTGTGTGTGTTCGTAATGCGGAAAATCGTTTTTACATTGAGGAAATAGACAACAGGTAACTTAATTTATGTCTTGTTTGTGTTGTACGGTTGAGATGGATCAGGTTGTCACTCAAACATTCCTTAATATAATCTCAGATAATATACTTTAGATATCAAACTATTTTAAAATGTCTACGATATGGTAAAGAAAAACGAGAAATTGGTTAATAACGATAACGATACTATAAAACACACACACACACACACATACACACTCACACACATACACACTCACACACATACACACTCACACACACGACATCACTAACATGTTATCATAAAAAGTTATACCTTAAAAGTTTATATCATTGTTTGTTGAGTGAGTGAGTGAGTGAGTGAGTGAGTGAGTGAGTGTGTGAGTGAGTTAGTGAGTAAGTGAGTGTCAATGTTGTGGTTAAAACAAACTGTTGCCCGCTGGTGTACAATATTCCTGTCACCACCACCACCACCACCACCACCACCACCTGACTATTCATGTATTCATTACCTCTGCGCATTGAGGGAGATGATGTTTTTCATGCTCACCGAACAGTACGCCCACCTGTCAGCCTGTGACCAAAATAATTCACACACACGTACGTAACAGTTGTAGTTTGATGACCATTGAGAGATTTAGCTAACAGTGGAGAGGTGAATTTTTTAGTTTGATTTAAGTTGAATGCATACATACATACATACCTGTACATACATACATACATATAATAGTTGCTCCTCGTGTAACGAGGATGGCCGGCCCTAGGGTCACCTAGGCGTGAATTTGTTTAAGGTGTAGAAGCTGTCGCCAACACAACAACCACACCCTGAGTTAACGATTTGCATGACCCAGTGTCAAGGAATAGTCCGAGTAGACCGGACAACTCGTCAACTGCACTGGCTAACCATTAACCCTGACTACGATCCGAAAATCGATTAACATCCAGGTTCCTAATTACTTCTGGGTAGAGAGGAGCAAATGGCGTAAAGAAACTTGCCCATAGTTTCACCCTGCCCGGAGATCGAACCCAGGTCCTCTCGTTTGCGAGGCGAGCATGCTGACCATTACACCACAGTTCGCCATATACATACATACATACATACATACATACATACATACAAAGACTAAATACAAATACATGCATATGGAACACAAACAAACGTCCCTGCACACACACAAACAGACACTCCAATATACACACCGATATACAAACAAATGTACCCACATACGCAAACACACACACACACACACACACACACACACACACACACACCAAATTTATTTCTCAGGCAAATGATTTCAACCACTCCTGCTGTGTGTGTGTGCGTGTGTGCGTGTGTGTACAGGACTCCTCTCTCTCTCTCTCTCTCTCTCTCTCTCTCTCTCTCTCTCTCTCTCTCTCTCTCTCTCTCTCTCTCTCTCTCTCTCTCTCTCTCTCTCTCTCTCTCTCTCTCTCTCTCTCTCTCTCTCTCTCTCTCTCTCTCTCTCTCTCTCTCTCTCCTCTCTCTCTCTCTCTCTCTCTCTCTCTCTCTCTCTCTCTCTCTCTCTCTCTCTCTCTCTCTCTCTCTCTCTCTCTCTCTCTCTCTCTCTCATTGAGGATTCACTTCCCGCCCTGGCCAGCATCTCCTCAATCCTCAGAGCTTTTGTATCCAGCTTGTTTTCAATCTTTAAAACACTGCCAATTCCTCTCCATCATCCCCCACGTCTCCCTCAAACAACTTCCTCGTGTTTCCTTTTTCTTTTTTCTTCGTTTTAAAACAATAGAATTCTTCAATTTAGTTTGACTTATTTTACGCTCGAAATTACTACCAAGTATTTCGTATTATTTTCTTTGTTCTTTAAAGCATGTGAGATATTTTTCTTGCTCGTAACAACAACAACAAATACTACTCCTATGTAATCTGTTTCGCTTTAGTTTTTGTTTTTAGTCCAAAACAATTTTGAACTTTTTGTTTTCGTTCGTAAAAGTTTTCCTGGATCTTTTTCCCTCTCTCTCTCTCTTTCTCTCTTTGGCTTTACCATAATTTTTTTTTTCATGATCAAGTATTGTATCAACGTCTTTATTTTTTTATGGTGACAATACCAATAGAAATTTGTTTACATTTTAGCCACATCGACTCTGAAGGTTAAAATTACTATAATATCCTTCCCTATTCATTATTATTAGTATTTGTGTCTCGTTTCCGTGGTTAAGTTTCGTAAAAAATAAAAAAGTCTTGGTAATAGTCTGAATAATATTTATTTTATTTTCAATTCTTTTCTAAAAAAAATTCTGTCTATTAAATATTTTTCTGATTTTTTGTGTTATTTTTTTTCAGTCTGTCGTTTTCCAAGTCATATTTTGTAAGAATATTTTTTTTAAATCTTCGCTATACCAATATATATTTTTTTCATTTCGTTTCATTTCATCTGGTGGAAATATAAGTGACTTCATTATACCTTTTCCTATTTATTTTCTTTACTGTCCTGTTCTTTTTCATGTCTAGGTTTTGTAAGAATTTAGTTTATTGTTTTGTTTTTGTCGGTCACTTCAGGATTGGTTGGGAATGTTAACCTGAACGTGGTGTTGTGTGTTCCTCTCATATATCATCAGCAGGTATTCCTTTATTGGTTGGAACAGTTCCTACATCTGAGGGAGTTGATGAAAAAAGACAAAGGAATGCAGGAAGGAAGAAAGGGTGGAAGGGGAGGCAAAGAGGAAAGTAGAATAGGCAAAGGGAGGGAAAAGTAGAGAAAGATTAGACAAATTAAAGAAGGAAGAAAGAAGGGAGGAAAGGCAAATGGGAAAAAAATGAAGGAAGAGGAAGGGAGTGAAGAAAAGAAGAAGAATTCCTACAAGGAAGGAATGAAAAGGGCTAAGGAAGGAGGGAAGGAAGAAGGAATAATGTAAAAGAGAGAGGGAGGAAGGAAGAAAAAAGAGCAATGGAATGAGAGGGGGAGAGAAGAGGGGAGAGAAAGGATAAAGGGAAATACACAAGTAAATAAAGAGAGAATTCACCGTCGCGTCGGGGAGCTCAAAACACTTCCCCCTGGCTGCTGGAGCTGCTGCTGGTATTTAGGAGAG